TTTAATAGAGTAAGGTGAAGAATGCCATACTGGTCATATAGTCGATTTTCCTAGAAAAAAATTCATGTGATAAAAAACTTTGAAACTCATTTCGACATAGAGTATTTTAAATTTGAATATCCTATTGAAAAGTCTCAATAATCAAAGAAAACAGATCTAGATAGGAAGCGTTTTTATCGATTTTCACACCTTCTTAGCGCCTTACTTTCTTTACCATGCAAACTTGACCAAAAATCGAATAAGCAAGACCATATTTATGACCGGCAGCAGTTCAAGGCGAGTCCAAATACATGTAATAAAGCCAGAAACAAAGTAACACTTGAGTTTTGAACTAACCGCGTCTTACCAGGTTTCGGAACGAGTTCCAGTTTAAAAATAAAGACAACGTTTATTGGTAATTTCACTCTGAATAATATATATCCCTTTACCTCTTTGTTTGAACTTTTGTTTTTGAATGACAATTGAATTGATATTGATGGCTCTTCGAAATCAATATTTGATTGTGAAGTGTTTCTTGTCCATAAAAGCCAAGATGAAACCATGAATTTGTCCAATCATACCATGATCCTACCACCACTTGCCATTCAGCCGAAAATGTTTTATCACAATAAATCCAACATGAAATGGCAAAATAATCTGTTTGATAACGAGCAAGATCTTTCACTGATATAGTAATCATCGATCGCCCGTCGAACTGAATCGATTTACCGAGAAAACAAGTGGACTGAATAGGTTGACCGATGATAGAATAATTGTCCTTCGTATAACCAGAAGAGTCATGTCCGATCTGGGACGCATCTTCAAATTTCCAATAGCCGACGATATTTTCTGTTTTAAAACGTTCGAATTTCTGTTGAAGAAACCATTCATTAATGATAACAGAATGCCAAAGACGACATGTTGTAGAAATGGAAAATAGCTCGGAAACTGTAGAAATCTTGTTAAAAATATTTGTTAGCACTTCTGGAGGAAGAGAGTTGATTGTGATCATGAAGTTTTCTTTTTTTTCTTTGTGAAAAATTGTCTGAAAAGAAGAAGAATGTTGTTCTAATTTTATCTCTACAAGCAAAGATAAATTTCTTTTTCGACCTCGAATTTGAAACAGAGTTATTTTTTGGAAGTCTAAACAAGAGTTTTTTCCTGCTTTATCGCTATCGATTTACGTAGCGAAGCAAAAAACATCACTTATGGCTTTTATATCTGTGTCATTTTAAGATTGCTGGGCAATACTTTTATTACTTCTTTGGTCTGACTTCTTGAGCAACACTTTCTTATTCCCTGTCCTGTCCTCTGATAGAAACAGAAACCAATCGAGCAACGTGTTCCGATTGAAGAGTAAGCGAACATACAAAGAGGGTGTGGGAGTGCAAGTGTCGTATGGCCGTGAGCATGGGTGTGTGATTATATACTTTCGTATGACAACATCTATACATTTAGGAAGCAACGACCAACATCAAGGGTGTTAAGGACCTCCTAAAAGGAACACCTACACCCAAGACTGTATTGGTAAGTTTTTCAAAACAAAATCTTCTAAGTTTTGTCGAATTTCACTGAAATCAACATAGACTAAGGAAATTCGTTGTGCTGCATTCTGTTGTTTTACAGTTATCTCTTGATAGATTTGCTCCCATTCCTCAGACTTTTCTCGTTTCAATCGATCATTTGAATACTATAGAATTACAGAAATATCTTTCTTTGAAAAATGATGATTAAGGATTTCATCAACATCTTGAATTGTGAGGAAAATATTGGAGTACTTAGGAATATCGAGAATATTATTATAATTAATGTTGGCATCGTAAAGTCTTTTGATTAATTTGTTTTTTTCTCAGCTATCGTTTTGGATCATTATTAAATATGGCAGTTACAGATTTTCTCAATGATAAATAGCGTTCATCTGATATCACTTTGCTAATTTCTATCGATTTACAAATACCTCGACGCACACCTATCAATGCAATTCAAAGTTCACTTCTACATTGCTCATATGTGCTGAAGAAAACATTAAACAGATCTAGAATATCTTTTGCTCATTGATTGACTGTCAAACTGGCAAAGTTTTTGAAAAGAGTTTTCAACACTTGTTGAATATTTTTCGTCAAATTATTGAAACAGATTATTATAGGGACAATTGGTGCAATATTAGAGTTATCATCATTCGACAAAATATATGGTTCGAATAACGATTGGTTTTCATATAGCCATTTTAGTGAATACATTTTATAAACTACAGGATGATGAAAATTTGTATAAGTCTGCCAATGTTTTAGTCTATCAAGAACAGTTAAAATTGATAATGTATTTGGATTGAAAATGCATGGTTCAGAGCCAAATGTGCTCCCATCAGATAGGTCATTAATTTGACCCTTCTCTTCATTGCTAAGTTCCCATAGTTTTTCGAAATTTTCAAGTCGTGCAGATATTGGATAAAACAACTGTTCGATTCGATCTGGAAATTATATCGGATGGATGTGAAATAGTTGTATTTGCTTTTCCAGTTGTAACATTTAGTTTTTCTGTTCTATATGTATATAAATAGTATAGGAAAAGAGTGTTTTCATTAATAGGTTTATTTTTATTAATAATAGAACTGATTCCTAATGGCTCAACTATATCAAGAAGAATACTCTGTAAAAGCATATCATCAAAATTTATCGCTTTCAAACGATGAATGACATCTTTTACTTGTCTACCTCGAAATATTTGACATGTCGAATTTCGATAAAATTGTGAATCTTCTATGTGGTTGATATAATTGTCACCAAGTAAAGTATCGGATATCACATCATAAAGTGACGCTAATCGACCAGAAGGCTTTATAGCTTTCCGTTCAATAAAATTTGAACTCGACATCATTTTATTGTAGAGTAAAATAAATGAAAGATTATTTTCTTAGATTGTCAGGAAAATATTTATTGTATTTAACCTAAAAACCGTTTTAGAGGATCAAATTACAACGCAAATCAGAGCGAATTTTCGATGCCAGTCGTTTTACGATTAAATATTAATGTAAACAGCTAGAGTTCACCAAAGCTTCTATTAAATCTCTTCAAAAAGTCATATTTTTTCATAGTCTCGTCAATGAATATTATTTTCAATGCATTTTTACTCACTACATCATTGATAAACGAGTTTATTTCACTTATCCTACACGCATAGAATGAGAAAAACACAGATAATACCCTCTGAAGAAAAGAAAAGGCAATCGTTCATCAGAAAAATGTTCTTAGAACAATACAGACAATATATTTTAACATCTTAGTACAATGCCCAATAGTACTCTTTTTTCTAAACAATGAAATTTGTAACTGACAACATTTATTCTTTTCAATATCTTAGCAACTGAAAAAAACTAAATTTTTCTTGTTAAACTTAAGGGTACCCCACCCCCTCTTTTTCGATCAAAAACTCGATTTCGAGTTGAGCATAAGATACCATAGCCTCAAGTGTTGTGTTCAATTAGACACATTAAGCGGCTCTAAATACCTTACTATTACAGAGTTACTGAATTAAAAAATTTTTTTTTTCATAGTAATCATAAGGAAATTGTTTTCTTTTTCTTAGCATATCTCAAAATCACGATTTTCTCGATCTTGACACATTACGACCCTCCTTAAATTATGTCTGATCGGACTGAAATTTTTACCACTAATACTTGGAAGTGTGCTCCAGAGGTCAAATCG